TGCAGTTCGTGGAAAAATTATTTTGAGTGTTTGATAGGAAATTAGTCTCATGACATATGCTGCAAGTCAAAAATGTTAAATGCTGGCAGTTTATACATCAACAGCTCTACGTAGATGAAAGCATCAGCGGTACTGTCCAATGACAGAAGTAGTGGCAGCAAAGTCGCGAACAATCCGACGGAAATAAAGGCACATGTTTTCAGGAGGGGAAAGAGAATTTGCGCCGCTCAGAGTTATCACGGAATCAGCGTTTTTCCTTTGCAACTCAGCCCCGCACACATCGTTTTGCATTTTTTCCCCTGCCGAAAACGACGGAAAATGATCGAAAATCGTGCACACTTATCATTCGCTTTGTGGCTGCGGGCCGCCCGGCAAGAAATTTGTCTGCATTCTCTTCTGCTACTGAGCATCAAAGAACCACCCGTAATTCACAATCGAAAGAGAATTTTCAGGACTGCCGCCTTAGTGAACAGCCAAAAATATTGTGTCTCAGAATTTCACTCCAAATCATCAACCGACAAAAAATGCCCCATAATTAAAGCACTCGCCTCTAACTCAAAGATATTCACTGAACTGAGCGTGAAAATGTGCCAGAACCATAGAAAACGGCCGTGGAACAAAAGCAGCTGCAAAAGATACGAGTATCTTGCTGACGCCTGTGCAGCAAGAATCCCGGAAAGGCGTTCGAGCGGAAGAGAAAATCAGTTTTCGTGCCCGTGATAAGTTCACCAAGGAAAACCACAACAATTCAAAATCTCGCAGAAGGCTAGGCCGTAGTGCCGGAAGGGGTGCACCAGCAAGCAACAACACAAAGTGAAGCGGCTCACTGTGCAAAAAAAAAAGCTGCGCTTCTACCTTTTAACACATGTCAAAATGATCCGGGATTTTGCACGGCGGAGAATCCGCCCATTCAAAGAGTTGTACAAAATCCAGGCATTGCTTGCTTCCACAGACCATCGATCCTTGCCCACACCCCCCACTGGTATGGATGCCTGGGATTCAGTGCAGGAACATAGCTACCTGCATCAGCGTATTTCGACAAGTTTTGTTGAAACATAAGTGAAGAGAGTTCCCCCTTAGCAATCGATTTCGACGTGCCCTCTGCACTCACTGCTTGCTGTCACACGCTGAGCAGCAACATCGCTTCCCCCGTAAATCCATGCAAGCGATCGTCCAGTGCACTGCGCAGTGATCGGCAAATAAACAGTCCCCACAGCAGTGTAAGACTTTTTGTTCCCCATATTAACACCCGAAAATTTGAGAATGAGCGGACTTCAGGGAAGCATTTTTCGACCACACTTCGGCCGACTCGTCAAAAACAATCGAAAAACAGAAAGTCCCGTTACATTTCTACTTTCCTGATTCGACGGCACTAAACAAAGTGAGCCGTAAGCTATTGCGAGTCAACAAGTCAACTATCGAAATACATTCAAACTACCGAAGATTCAACAGCCGCGTCGCATACTGCATTTTGCGCACCTAACAAACAGCAAAAGTCCAGCAGGTCAAGTTCACAATTTCCACAAAATTTATTGCTTGAAATCCGAGTTAAAAACTTACCCGAAAAGAATTTTGGCGGGCCCACACGTGAGTACCACCCGGATAAGAGCACCCATTTTAGAGATGGTAGCCTGTACGCGCATGTAAATTAAGTTCCCAAAGTTTCAGCCCTGTAGCTTTTGTAGATCTCGAGATGAAAAAACGATAGAGACGCACAGCGCACACACAGACACAGACACGCACGCACGAACACACGCACAGACACAAACATACACAGACAACCTCTCGTCAATATACGTTTTCTGCATTGCATAGATGCAAAAAGCGCATAAAAAGTAATAAAATTAAAAGTCGAAGACTACCTCTTCTTCGTTTCCCACGGGAAGCGAAGGCATCAGAAGTAACCTGCAAAGTAGCAAGTTCCAGCAGCATTTACTCGCTGGCAAAATTGCCGTCTGCCAGAAGAAATCATTGGCGA